TCCCTCCTCAAAACCCACCTATTCACATCAGCCTACTCACTGTAGTGCTACATGTCTCCTGTTTCCCAACATGTTCCCTGTTACAGTCCTCTTGCACTGTCTTAAACCTTTCCTTAGAATATGTTATGAATTGTAAGGTGTCCTTGGGTGCTTTGAAAAGCGCCTCTAAATATAATGAATTATTATTATTATTATTATTAATAATTATAATTATCTGAAACAATGTAATAACGTTTAAAACTTGTTCCAGTCACTTGCCCCATGCCTTCAGCAGCAGCAGGCAATTGTATCCCATTATGAAATGTCATCATTTCAACAATAAAGAAATGCTATATAAACGTTATCTTGCACATTTTATCCAACCATCTCCGTTTCTAACTTTCAATATATTTTAAACGAGGTCTCTCTCTATCATCTGCGTGAAGGGGCGGGGCCTCACAGACACGCTGCATCTCTCTCTCTCTTTAAGACAAATGCTTTATTTATGATGCCATTTAAAATACCAATACTCAATTCATCAGCCAATTTTAAAATCTAGGCATAACACGTTAATGCACGTGATTGATCGTGGACCCTTACCGCGTTGAAAACATTTAATGTTAATAATGAATGTTACCAAGTTTGACCTACATTTCAATCAATTGACCGCAATAATAAAAACTTTTTTTGCCATATTTGGAAGTTTTGATGTAAAAAATAAACACATGTATGCAAATGCACGTTAGGATTCTTGCTTGTTCCAAAGTTTGAGAAAAACTTGACATACCATGGACTGTTTAGTAGCTCATTGAGAGCCCGTATCTATGATGATGAGAGTGCATATCTTCATGTGGGGTTCTCAGGGATCAAAGTTAGTGATCAACGACAGATCCACAGCGCGGAGACCGAGATAACAACACCGACATGAAAGATGGAAGCACACGATTGCACATTTGGGACACGTACAAAAATAGAGCAAATTAGAGACAGAAACCAAAAGCTGGGTCCCTTTGATGCTATTCAGATGATATTTGATGATACCCAGTTAGATATTCACTCTCATTTCTGTACAGTATTGCATAACTGATTTGTTTATTACATCTAAGGTATTCAGAGGTGAGGACTCGTCTGTGATTAGATTTTCCTCCTGAACGCGATGGTGAAAATTATATAAAGCTTTTTATCAGCTTTTGAGTTTTAGTCATCCACCTTTTTGAACCCCAAGTGTGTGTATCTGATGTTGAGTTCTGTTGTGTTGCCGCCCTGCACAAGAATGTGCCAAGATACTAAAGTAAAGAGTCTGAGGCACTTCTCCTTATCTAAGTTATTGATGACTCAGTGTTTGTCCTTGGGGATGTTGTATCACGTCGCCTGGTCGTTGTGTAAATTAAATGTATTTCGTTCACACTGCCATCAAATTACCTGATGCCTCTCTGTATCCGCCCACACATGGAGGATGGATACCTTTACAAAGACTGTGTCTGAAGTGAAGAAGCTGAAGTGATTTGTTAATGATGTTTGAAATGAACATTGAGAAATGTTCACTTCAGTACTTCTCAACTTTAAAAGCAAGAAGCTTCCGGATCTTCTAGCTTTCCTTTTAATATTATTCTAGTAATCCTTTTTTTCAGTTTCGGCATCGACAGTTGGCTTTTTATGATTAGTTTAATGTGCTTTACAAAGACTATTCAGGATTGGAGTGTCAAATGTCTTCTTAGTCTTTATTCAATTTTGTAGTTTCTCATACTTGTCCGTTTCCTTTTTTTTTTACTTCCCTGCAAATTTCTCAAAAAACGCAATGTTTTTAAAGCTGAATCAACAGTGGCTCAAACACTACGCGTGAAGTATGAGGGAATTCCCACAAATTCTGAATTGTTTAACATCTTTCAGTCAGTTATTACTGCTATAGCCTCTTAGGCAGCATATATCTTACCTTATTAATAAAGATGTTAGCAATTGTATAAGTAGAAACAAAGGCTGCAAATGCATTTCCAAAAGTTTGCCTCTCTTTTCTCAAAGGCCCTATCTCCAAACATTACATTTTTTTTTCTATCCGCTTCATTATAATATTTCAGACAAACATTTTAGTTTATTTGATACATTATCAACAAAGTGTATTTTTAAAGTGTTTAAATGATTTAAACGATTTTAAGTTAGTTTGCTTTTATTTTATTTAAAGTATCGTAATTGTTCTGCCTGATTCTGTGGTAGATCAGTGAAAGTGCTGACAGGTGAGCCTTGTGTCCGCTGAGCAGGGAGGGGCCGGGCTCTGCCAAAATGTGGCAAGACAGGAAAGATTGATTGGCAGTGAATCACATTATATCAAATGTTGTGTGCTCATTGGTATGTAATGATTGTCTAGATATAGATTGTGATTTCAGCAGTAACTTTGAGATATTGTTCTAATGGTATGGTCATTATTCTATGTGATTTAGATGCTTGCCCTGATTAGCTCCCCCTATAATTAACTGGGCAGGTGGTATGTTCCACCAGGTGAGGATTGTTCAAAAGCCATTCTCTGCAGTAAGGCGTGAGAGAGTCAAGGTTGCCACTGTCAGAGCGGAACAGCCGACCTGAGAGGCGCATGTGGATGGCTGGGCGAGGGTCAGAGTGGGTAGCAGGAAGTTACCGTCAGGCCCTCTATGGAATGACGTCTTTGAGTCCTGGAGTGGTGAATATTGGAAGCAATGATATGGAAAGTGCATCTGAAGGAGAAGGAGGATGGAACGAAGTAAGAGCAAAGAGTTCAAGAAAGAAGATAGACATGTCAAGTGACATTCTCAGTGAGTCTGATTCGCAGAATGAAATGAAGAGAACAAAGAAAAAGATTAAGAATGAAGAGTGGAAAGTGATTATGGAGTTTGGTGAACAAACCGCAAATAAATTACACCCAGTGGCCCTGAATAAAGCGATTCATAAAGAAATTGGATTGATAAAATATGCAAGATTTCTGAGAAAGGACGGATGTTGGTAGAAATGATAAACGCAAGACAACAGGAAAAGTTGTTGAAAATGAAGACCCTGAATGAAGTTCCAATTAAATGCCATGTTCCCGGAGCAAATCGGAAAATGCGTGGAGTGATCAGTGGAGTTCCCATGGAAATCAGTATTGAAGAACTCAAGAAAGAAATGAAAGGTGGCAAAGTTTCTGTAGTTAAGCGTCTTCCTACTAGGTATCAGGGTAAGCTAGTGGGTAGTTTGTCTGTTCTTCTTCAGTTCGAGGAGGAAATTCAACAGAAGATAATGAAGGTTGCATGAGCTTTCCAGTTAGAGAATTCATCCCTAAACCTCTGCGCTGCTTTGAATGCCAAAGGATTGGGTATGTGGCAGACAAGTGCAAAGCAGCAAAGCCTAGGTGTCCAAAATGTGCGGGGGAACATGAATATGGTAGTTGTGCTGCAGGTGCTAAGGTGAAATGTTGTAACTGTGGTGGGGAACATAGTGCTGCATATCAGAGCTGCTAAGTGCAGAAAAAGGCAAAGGAGGTAGAGGGATACAAAGTTCAAAACAAAGTGTCAGATGCTGAAGCAACAGAAAAGGTATCATTAAACATAGCTAGGAAATCCCAAGTAGCAGCAAGTATTTTCTCTTCAAAAGATGTTCCCAAACTCCCACAGGCAAAGGAAAGCTCCACAAAATGTTCACATAAGTGTGTGATAGAAGAGGATGCACTAATTGTTAATAAGTACAAATGTGTGGCCTTCATTGGAAAAGTGGTGAATGTTGCTTTGCAACAAACAAAAAAGAGTTCAAGACTGAAAACAATATAGTGGAAGACGCAGGTTGCATTTTTGGGGGTGAAAGGATATAACTGTTGAGATGGCACATGATATGTAACCTCCAACAATGATGATGCACAAACAAAATTGTGAATAGTTTAATGTTTTCTATGCCATTGCTGTAGTTGGAATGGCTAGACAGCCTTATTAGCAAACGGACAAGAGTTCAATAACTATAATATTCTATCAAAAATACATTGTCCTCTATTGGGAAACTAAATGGGATTTTAAGGAAGGCTTCCTATTTGTTTTGCTAGCTTCATTTATTTTAATTAATGGAAGCTTGTTGGCCATATCCATTATGTTGTTTTTGGCAAAAAACCTAAAAAGTATTCATGATATAAGTATAACAACGTGTTAGGTTTTAAAATACAGCTCGAGCTTTTTGACATGACGGAATACAATTTGGCAACAGCGTTGACCATACGTGATAAAAACGAAATCTTAAATCATCACTTCTTGATTTACGCTGATAATTTGTTGCACGCGGATTGCAGTTATGTAAGCCCTGTTAGAAAGGCACAATGCATCGCTGGGGCACGCATTTACGCTGTCAGCTCTGTTTGAGTAGGTGTCACTTTTTTAATGATAAGGTGTTT